CAGAAAAGATAGTTTGGCAGTACCTGTATGTCAATACTCCGTGGAAGTATTCAGTGAGGTATTTATCGCGATCATTGAGGTTTCATGGACATCACTACCACCGGCAGTAACACCAGCAGTGAAACGCCATTACAGCTCAACGTCCCAGGCTTCCACCGGCCGTAACACCAGCAGCGTCTAGCGCGATTGCATCCTCAACGAATATTCATCAAGCAGGTTTACGTTGCCTCCATGTACGCAAACGTGTGTTCTTGGACTAGACACCCCCTAGCGTAGAATTAAACTCTGTTTGGCTGGGCCGAGAGAGGCTGCATCACCCCCTCTTTCTATACTGTAACCTTTTTTCTTGCCTCTATCCAGGTACAGATGACCCCATTTCCAAGATTCGCCTGATTCTTCCGAGTTTGTGAGAAATCAATCTATCCTCTCGTTAGTGACAAGAGAAGCAAAAATGTATGTTATTGTTTTACAGAGGTTCATAAAAATTTCATTCTTCTCCAAAGAATATCAGTAAATCCGTCCATTACAAAGTATAAAGCACAACGAGCATGCATGATAATTAGGCCAGCTTTTTAAGGCTAACAAAAGGGTATTTTAAAACTCTATTGTTAAAAAACGCTTTATAAAAAGCTCTTTTTTGTTTCACATTCCTATTTTCACTAAGAACCAGATTGACATGTAAAACCGCGCTTGCTTAAGCTCTGTCCGCGTGCAGTCGTAATCGCGTACAGTCGTAATCTCATTATGGAACTCCAAAATGTGCAATGACACTGTCTTCCATGCCTACAGACATATCATGCTACACAAAAATTAAAAAAAAAACATATTGCTATCTCCACTTATAATTGTAATTTAGATGGTCCTGTGAATAAAAAAAAACATATTTTATTCTAAATCCAAACACCACTCCTTATTTTGTCATCTTGATAGTAATAAATCGTAGCATCCCGACGCTATCACAGAAAAGTCTGTACAGTACTTTGAAGAACGAATAGACTACAAAATATTTCTCGGGATTTGTTATCCCTAATGCCGCTCGATAATATGGATAGGTTACTTCCGTATCGGCTCCATGAGCACTTCAAAATTTGCATTCCACCTGCACAAGCACATCAACCAGACATTTGAAACGAGAAAAATGCGTTTGAACTTCGTCGTATTGGCAAGTGCCATCGTTTTGTATGCCAGCAACGACCTCGTTGCCGCCGATACCACGCGCAATTTGTTGTCCCTTGACGACATCAGCGAGGAGCGCGCTTCTACCACTACCAAGACGAGCGAAGCAGTCTCTGGGTCCGGATCAAGCGGAGAGAACAGTGGATCGGAGGACGCGATATCCTCCAGTAATTTGAGTGACCTATTGGACATGTTTTCTAACTTAAGCGCCAGCGATTCAGGCAGCGATGACACTGCTACCCCTGCACCGAAGACACCCAAGAAAAAGAAGAAGGCGACTCCTGTC